GTTTGAATGACTACAACTATGGAATATATGCGTGTACATATAGTGTATGTATATATACATATACTATATGTAATGTATATATATGTGTACACACGCGCGCGCGTATGTGTGTAATTCATATTGAATTATTTAAGCATTAAAGATCTAGCTTCGACCGGCATTTCTAGTTCGTATTGATTGTGTTCTCACGTGCACAGTCCAAAATATGATTCTTATTGTTTTTATTAATTACGTATTTTGTCCATTGGTATGTATCCGAGAACTGCAATTTTCTTTTTTATTTCTCTTTACCAAATATATATAAGCATCCGCTTCGTATATTATTATTGTTATAATTCGCAAATATTATTGAGCGATGTTTAATTTACGTAATAGCATTTCCTTATAAATTGGAATGGGCAGGGCGTTCTACGATGCATCGATCGATTACTCTGGAATCGACAGACTTGGTGGCGTAATAACCCACTTAAACAAGACATTCAGGAACGAATTGCTACGCCTCCTAGGTTCAGATCATGAGTTAATCATTGCGATGGAACAGCAACAGCATACTACAACGGCAACGAATGAAGCGTCAAACAACGCTTACGCTGTTACCGATACAACCATAAGACAAATAGTTGATTTGCCCGTAACTGTACCCGCAGCCATTTACCCTCGCTTAATTAATATCACTCCGCCGGCGGCATCAACGAGCCAAGGTAGTTCTATGATACTGGAGAGATTTGGATTTTTCTCGTATAGAGATAGAACTAGAGAAGATAGGACTCCAATACGTCACGGTCCTACGGATCCGGAAACCTCATTGATGGAATTATTAGACAACATTATTTTATTCTATCATGTAGCGGCGAAAAAGCAATTGGCCAAGGTGGCTGGTCTGCGTGACAGTATGTCCGCCTACATTAACGCAATCGCCAACACCAAGTCGAGGCTCGAATATGTTAAACAGGAGACAAGCCCGGGGAAGAATTTTAACGCGGAAGCGATACAAAGAGAACTGCTCCGTACAACGGACATATTTAATACAAAATTATCGGAACAAGCAAGACACATGGCGTGGATCAGGGCCGCCGTATACTCGGAAGAAAAACAAGCGCAGTTGGCCTGGTTGCTGAAAGTGATCACACTGACTCTGCAAATGGCCAGTCAACAGGGCAACATGTTCAGTTTCGTGCCCGATTTCTATCTGGAGACGTTATCCGATCTGAGCGTGAGTTTGCGCGCCCACATGCATCCCACTGTGCCGATCGAGAATATTCCGGATTATCGAACAATACTGTGCAACGCTGCCGAATTTCTGTGCGATCACTTTCTCGATCCGCGCATAGTACACGCTAATTCCAAAGATGTGCTGATACTTGCACTTGCGGGTTTTGTGTCGAATCCGTTGATGCTGGAAGCATTGGAGAATGTGCCGCGCAAGAGCAGGATAAAAATTGTCACGAATTTGTTGAAACCCTATGAGAATAGAGCCTGGGCGCAATCCAATTGGGTTTTGCTTAGATTTTGGCAGGGTAATGGCTTTGCTTTTCGATACGAGAAAAGCCCGCATCTTTCAAAGATCGGCATGAAGCAACAGGAATCTGTCTATCAGCTCATAAGTAAGTTATTCTCTTTTTTTCATATTTAGACTTTATTATTAAATCTTAAAATATTCAAATTTCATTATTAAACCTGAATCATTGAAGTGTAGCAAATTTAAATTATATGCAAACTGTTATACAATGTGTACAGACATATGGATTTTTATAAAATTTAAACTTTATTCCAATTCGGTATTTTCAGGATTCGCTGTATTGTTTCAGAACCGTGTCCATCGGTAATATATCAAGCACACGTGAGGGATGTGTTGTTGGGTAATCCACAGGCGTCTACACAATTTTTGAACTCGCTATTGAACCAATTGAATTGGGCATTCTCCGAGTTTATTGGCATGGTGCAGGAGATTCACAACGTGTCGTCCAGGCCGGAGCGTGTGTTTATCGAGTCGAGACAATTGAAGATCTGTGCCACTTGCTTTGACTTGGCTATCTCGTTGCTTCGAGTCTTAGAGATGATCTGCACGGTAGCTTGGGACGTTTTCAGCGATCCCAAGCAGTCTTCCAGCGAAATTCTGTTGGCCAGATTGTGTCAAGTGAGTCAGAATAGAATTCGTAATCGATTCTTTGAGTGTACAATCATGTCATGATTTCAGTTACTCTGCCAAGTATTGAACAGGATGAGCTCGCAAACTAACTGTTTTCAACATGTGATGCTATTGGAAATACCGGATTTAGAATCTGTAGATCACTTTCCTATATTAGCTGCCGTTATCGGTATTCTGCTGGCTCTTCTCAAAAAAGAGATGAAGGATTTCGGAGGTACAACTTTTGTCGCAGATGAATTATAAAAAAAAATTATGTTTATGAAATGAGCCTTAATAACTTATGTCTTTTGTTTATTAGCAAAATCAACAATCGAAATACCCAGAATTACACGAAGTTTATTAACAGAACCAAGCTTTCAGATCACTTCTCTGCGTTTTGTTTTAAGCGACACAAAATTGAAAAATACAAAGACGAAAAATATAAAACCATTTTCATTGTTAAACTGTAAGTATCTTGTGTTACACTTAATTGCATATGATATGTGGACTGTACATCCCCCCCCCCCCCACACACACACACACACACGCACGAGGTGTCCCACGTAACTGTAATCACTGATCGCGATTTCTCTGATACTTCCAATAATCTGATAAAAAAAATTTTCAGTAAAAGTTAGTCAGTTTTCAATCGACTACAAATTAAAATATTAATTAAAAATTCACAAAGAAGTCTACGTTTTTCGGTAAAAAGTCAAGGTCATCATAATTTTTTTAATGGTATGTTTTTAACTTAGTTTTTAATAGTGTTGATGTCAAGACGAATTCAATAACCTGCTCTACTACGAGTACTATGACCTTTAGATAACAAATATCATTGGCTGCGTTCAGCAGAAAAAGCAGCTTTGTAATTCTTGTAAAATTGTTGAATATGATTGATTTATACATTTAGTGAGAAACTAAAGGCAAGACCAAACATGGTGACGATATTCTTGATGATATTCTATCTTAATTTTCAATCCATTCTTACCTCGGAACAATGAAATAGTTTATGGATATCTTAATTATAATTGCTAACTAATGCCCGTATTCACAGTGAATAAGCTCTATATTCAAAGCTTTCTAAAATTTATCTTCAGATGCTCTACGAATTATTATATTAGCTACTCTAAAGATAAATTTAAGAAAGCCTTAAATACAAGGTCTGATTACGAATACGAGCATAAGTGTTGTCTAATTTGTTTCGCTTTCACTAGTTATATAGTTCGACGTCTTTTTGACGCTCAGATATTCATTTTATTTTTTCACTACAATAACTTATTTACAAATGTTGTGATGTTTGCGTGCGTTGGATATTCTTCCGATGGTGACTTAGATATTGACCTGAGATCGTTAGCTCGTGTTTATATGATTACGAAATATCTGAAACGCAGTACATATCAAATCAATAAAATACGATTGAAATTCAACGGTGTATACTGCGTTTCAGATATTTCGTAATTATTCATGTAATCGATATAACTTTATTATCGAAGAAAACTGTGAAGTTGAAATGTTCAATATTTTGATTATGGATTACTAGATTTGTTGATTAATAATTAATAATGATTGGCCTAATTCAACATAAAGTACCTCGTTGTTGATCTTATTATCTTAATTTGTTTTACATATTACGAGCTATATACGACTGTTACAATCTTTTTTTTTAATATTTTTTCGTATCATTAAAAAAAATAAAGATTATAGTTGTGTTCTAAATTTACTGCTAGCGCAGTCTGAAAACTGGAAATCTATAGTTTATATTACGTGTACTATAGTTCTTTTTAGCACTGGCAGTAAATTTTAGAATAAAACCATTCTAGGTATTTAAATTAGAAGAAACACTTTGTATATAATTACACTATTTTAAATTATACTATTTTATATTATATATATGTATATGTATATATATATATCATTCTTTTTTTGTAGATCAGGAAGATGTAACGGCAGACGAAATTAATCGAGTAAAGCAGATGATAACATATCTCGACACTTGTCACACACTTTTACCCGATACCAAATTGATAAGTGATGATGACAATGCTTGTACAATTTGTTATGCGTTTCCAATTACCGTTATATTTAGGCCATGCAATCATCAAACGTGTCGCATCTGTATAGATCGTCATTTGCTCAATACTAGGGAATGTTTCTTTTGTAAAACGATTATAGATAAGGTCGAAGATCTAAGCGGAAACACTTTGCATGATTTTACTAGTGAATTCTCAATTTCGAGAACAACTTCTTGATCCAATGATAAGATCGTTTCGCAATTTGGATATATTATATTAAAGATTTGAATTCTTGCAATATGTGCGTCGAGTATCGACAAAGTTTTCGCTTATAATTTTAATGTATAATAAAAAAATTCTATCAGAGGAAGAGGGAGGAGAAAAAAGGAGAGAACTGGGATAAATTAAAGTTTATATGAATACGAAACAGGAAGTTGTATAAAATATTATAAAGAGTTCTTTTTTTATTTACAAATATAATAAACCTATATACTGTTGAGCACATCTTGACGAAGGAATGTCAAAAGTAGAAAAGAATTATATTCACACAATTATATGTGCAAATGAGTTAATCTGTAAAACTTACTAATAAAAATTGTGTGTATA